TATATTCTAATATGCTCTGGGGGGGGCATGTGTGGTAGGCAGTGTTCCCTCTAAGCTAAGTCAGTGTGAGCTGGCTCACAGTTTTTTAGCCTCCAGCTCACAGATTTTTGTCTTAGCTCAGGAAGGATGGCTCCAGAGCAAACTAATTTATGCAGCAGCCAAATCACTCGCTCACAGCTTTAATGCCAGTAGCTCACAAAGTAGAATTTTCGCTTACAAGACTCCACAGCTTAGAGGGGGCATTGGTGGTAGGTAGCAGATAAAGGGCCAAGATCCAAAAGGCAGGGTGCTGATAAGAGGGGGAAGAACCAACAGTGGTGCAATGAAATACAGGAAATTGTCACATAACAGGCACAGGCAGGCAAGCTCTGGTGCCCACACGAAGTCCAGAGTCAGTCCCGGAAGTCCACAAGCCAAGAGTGCACAAGCCAGAGGGTCATTGCCAGAAGGGGTAAAGCAGAGAGCATAGTCAGGAGGTCAAAGGGTTATCCACAAGCCAGAGAGTCACAAATTCAAAGCTCCAAGCCAGTCCAAGGTCACATGAAGAAAGCATATAGTGACCACAGAGTCCAGCAAAATGACTTGCTGCCTCCACAGCATGTAGGCTCCCAGCCCTGTTTTTTTTAGGCACCTGCTTACAAGCTCTTGTTAGCAGCCAGCTGTTTGGGCGTACTGCCGCAACTACTCCAAGCTGTCATCAGCAAACAGCTGGCAATGGGCCAGGAGACAAGCACTCTGCCTCCTTGCTTGCAGCTCCCTTCTAAGCTTCTGTCTCCGGCACTCCAAGGGTGGAGGTCAGGCTGGTGGACTGGTCTTAATCAACCGAGTCTCACCTGCTGGGCAGTGGCTCTGGATCAGCTGTTGGTGGTGAGTCTTGGCCAGCCTGCAGCTCATCGGCCTTTTTGCTGGCTTCTGCTGACTCAGAGCCAGCCATGCATGGCTCCCCTTTTCCTGAGGAGTCCTCCTCCCTTGAGGACTCCATGGTGAGCTCAGGGTAACCCATGACAGAAATAACTGGTGGGAAACCAAAAGCCAAGGAAAATGTACCACTTTGGAAATCCAGGGTGGTACATCTATGGCAATAGTTGTCAGCCTAGGGTTCCCAGTTCTGGCTTGGGAAAATACCTGGAGATTTTAGGGGTGGTTGCCCTTCCAAGTACTAGTCATGGCCGACCCTGCTTATCTTCCAACATCTGATGAGACTGGGCTAACCAGGGTCATGATGCAGAGGCAGGCAATGGCAAGCCACCTCTGAAACATCTCTTGCCTAAAAAGAACTCTAGCTCACCACTGAGTGGTGCATAATGCTAAAAGTGCTAGAACTTCTGGCTGCCAGACAGTCTTAGGATCTCCTGACTATACTACACACAGTACCATACAATAATTAATTAGTTAATTTAGGAGTGGATCCTGGAGAGGGTGGGGTTTGGGGAGGGGAGGGGAAGGATCTCTGCAGGGTAGAATGCCATAAAGACCACCCTCCAAAGCAGCCCATTTTCTCCAGGGGAACTGATCTTGATTGTCTGGAGATCAATAGCAATAGTGGGAGATCTCCAGGTGCCACCTGGAGGTTGCCAGCCCTATGTCAGGCATGACAGCTAAATGAAACCTCCATATTCAGAGGCAATATGCTTTTGACATTCAGATGCTTCATACTCAGCTTCTTGTATTCCCTAGTGACATCTGGTTAGCTGCTGTTAGAAATAGGATGCTGGACTTTAATCCTACAGAAGGATGGGTGGGGGAGAGACCCTCACAGGGCCCTGTACGGTGATATGACTGTGAGTTCTGTTTTTGTTTTGTTTTTTAAACTAATTCATCTTGTTTACTGTGATCTGAATTACAGAATTTGTTAAGCCAATTTCCAAGTTGCTCTATACACACTGATGAAGATATGTAAAATTTTTCTGTTCAAAGCGATATTTACATTAAAGCCTTCTTTGGAGAAAGCATGCTTCTGTCAAAGAAGGCTATACTTACAGCTTGCAGATTGAGGCGAGTGCAACTGTTGCATGCATGCATTCTATGATGGGCCCCTCGCTTGTTCAGTTCTGTGAGGCGGATTTCCCCTCCACCAAAACTGCTGTTCCCCGCTCTGACTGAGCAGTCTCCTTGTAGTGTGTGCTAATACATGAATTATAACTTTTTGCGTGTCCCACCTGGTGACAGAGGAGTTAATTGGTTTCTGCCTAGGCCAGAGATTTATTGTAGAAAAGTAGAAGTCCCCTTGATATTCCATTTTGTAAATGGCACTTGACACAAAATAGAGATCAAACAGGAATGTTGATTTTATTAAACAGGCATCGCTGGGTAGGAATAGGCAGGGGACGAAAAAACTGAGGTAAATGTTAAAGTATTTACAGGATATAATATTTTGAACTCACAGCACAGTATTGTTGCAACTTAATTTCTTAGAGACTCAGTTCCTAACAGTGAGAGGTTTGTTTGTCTTGGACATTTCTTAACAGCAACAAGGTGTCTTGATAAAGATCCATATAACTATCGTAGTTTCCTGGAGGCTAGTACTTTCTTCCTGTACTTAAATCCTTCCCTTGTGGAAGTTAGAGTTCCTTTTGATGCTAAAGGTAAAGGTTTCCCTTGCTTGAGAGCTAGTCGAACCCAACTCTAGGGGGCGGTGCTCATCTCCGTTTCCAAGCCGAAGAGCCAGCGCTGTCCGAAGACATTTCCATGGTCATGTGGCCAGCATGACTAAATGCCAAGGCTCACGGGCCGCTGTTACCTTCCCACCAAAGCAGTACCTATTTATCTACTTGCAATCTCTTGCTTTCGAACGGCTAGGTTGGCAGGAGCTGGGGCCAGAGATGGGAGCTCACTCCATCACGCGGCACTCGGGTCTCGAACTGCTGAACTTCCAGTCTGCAGCTCAGCGTCTTAACCTCTGAGCCACCGCGGCCCAGCCTTTTGATGCTAGAGGAGTCTAAAACTGTTTCCTTTTCCACACCAACCAGGGGTCCCTTCTGAGTTGGACTCACTGAATAACTGAGAAGGAAAAATTCTCTCCTAGAGGCAATGTTCCTTTTCTATTTGGCTAGACTGGCAGTTTCAACCTACTGACCAATCTCTTCTGCCAAACCTGATCCTCATTTCTTAACACTGTGAATAAATGGTTTTCAGCCTGGCTGACGCTTAAAGTCCCTGTTTTGAACTTTTCCTCAGATTCTGTTAGTATTCAATAAGGGCAAGGAGTTGTGTCCCTTCACCTTAAAAAAATGACTTTGCCTGATTCCCTCTAACCAACACACCAACTCCAACTGTCTGGCTACTGACTCGCCAGAGATGACAAACAGCCAGAAAAGATCCTTTCCCTCAGCACTCAGCTGCTCTTAAAGTTCTCCTCAGTTGGCGCTGATCAATTGGGGGGGTAACCAGGTTTGATTCCCCACTCCTCCACTTGCACCTGGCTGGATGACCTTGGGAAAGCTGTAGTTCTGATAAGGGCTGTTCTTGAAAAAAAGAGCAGTTTCTGTCAGAGCTCTCTCAGCCCCACCTACCTCACAGGGTGTCTGTTGTGGGGAGGGGAAGGGAAAGGGGTTTGTAAGCCGCTCTGAGACACCTTTGGGTAGTGAAGGGTGGGGTATAAATCCAATCCTCCTCCTCCTCCTCCTCCTCCTCCTCCTCCTCTTCTTCATTGATTGTTTAAATGTTTTAACAGTGTTAAATGTTTTAAGTTTTAAATATTTTGACCATAGAGTTTTCCCTTGGATGACTGTGGCCCCGGCCCCACCGTGCCCGGCGTGGTCGCGTCACTTCCTGGTGACATGCACGTCGGGGCGGAGTTCCCCTTGGGGGCCGATCCGGCGGAGGCAGGGAACGGGCCTCTGGGGCGGGGGTTTCCCCGCCCCCCCCGGGGGGAATTGACAAGCCTAGTCTGCTCTGTGTTGCATGGATATCAGCTGAAATTCTATAATAGTCCAGGCCTCACCATAGGCTGGCAACCCTCTGAGTAATCCTTGAAGAAGCAGACACTTGCACATCATTATTATCGCTCAGGGCAGTTCACAACATAAAACCAACAAAAATTAGAAACACTAAAACAATAAATAGAAACAGCAGATAAAACCAAAACCCATGCCTTTTATTGGACAGAGATTACCTCAAGAAATCCCAGGGCCCAAGTGATAGCCTGAACAGCAAGGGCACTGGAGAAGGGGTCATGGACAAGCCCATGGACGGGGGGGTGGGGGCAGATGGTTGAACACCCACTGCCTCAACCAAAGCCCTGGCGGAATTGCTCCGTTTTACAAGCCCTGCAGAATTGTAAGAGGTCCCGAGGGGCCCTGATCTCCTGGTTGAGGCTAAATGGACATTCCCCAGGCCTGGGACCACCCGAAGATGTTGCTCAGAAGAGGGTAGAGCTCTCCAGGGCTCATACTGGGACAGAAAATCCCACAGGTATGATGGTCCCAGGCCACAGCTTGGTTTGGGGACCGTCTTCCTCACAAGCTGAGGAAGCTGGCTGGCTTCTCTCCTATCAGCGAGTCGAGGTCTCTGAATGACAGGCAAGATTCTGAAGATCATGCATTTTCTGAGGAGAAATATTCCTTCCAAGTCATGTGTGGGAAAGGGTGGGAAGGAGGAAATCATGAAGCTGAGGGCATCCATTTGGGTATCCCTGCTCCGGAACAACAGGGCTCCCAAGTTATCCACACATTTGTTGTTCAGTTGCACATGCATAAATCAGTTTGCTCCGGAGCCATCTTTCCTGAGCTGAGACAAAAATGTGTGAGCCGGAGGCTAAAAAACTGTGAGCTAGCTCACACTAACTCAGCTTAGAGGGAACACTGCTAGCAGCCCCCTTGCAATTCACAGCCACAGTGACTGTTGGTGGTACTAATGGCCAACTGTCATTCCAATAAACTTGCACATTGTTGCTAATCTTCTCATTGAAGAAATTCCAAACAGACTCCCAGGAAATCCAGGCTTCCCCCAAAACACAGTCGGAAGCAGTGTGTTATCAGATTAGTCCTGCTTCCTCTTACCTGAGTCAAATCCTTGGCAAAAAATTCATTGTCACTTCCCAGAATGCCATCATCTAGAATCTCCCATCTCTCTCCTATCCGGAATTCCATGATGTAACGGTCAATTGGAAAGCTGTGATTGGCTGGAGGAAGCCATGACAACAGGACACCTTGCTGTGTCCGATTGGCTGTTAGGCACCTCGGTGGAGTAACCAGCACCAGTGGTTCTGGAGTTGTTACAGGGAATGCTGAGCCGTCTTTTAATTTCATGGCTGCTGTCCATCCATACCCTAGAGAATAAACTGCATCATTTAAATTAGGCTGTGGAAAACTCATAGAGATGTATAGTTGGAAATGTGAGGGAGGCAGGAGGAAAAAAGGGGGGGGGGGGGGGGAGTGGGGAGGAAGTGGGAAAAGCAAACATTTTAACAGAAGCTAGACAGATGTTACATAATCAGGAGCTGGGTTGCCAGCCTACAGGTAGTGACTGGAGATCTCCTGGAATTACACTGATCTCCAGGGGACTGATCCCCAGGTGACAGAGATCAGGCCATCTGGACAAAATGGCCACTTTGGGAAGTGGAGTCTATGGCATTGTACCCCATTGAGGTCCCACCCTTCCGCAAACCCTGCCCTCCTCAGGCTCCACCCCCAAAATCTCCAGGTATTTCCCACCCTAGTCAGAAGGCTGCATTTGGTTTTGTCTTACTGTGCCGCCCTTACTACAGCGGCTGGCCACCACATCCTCTCGCCCCTGCTGTCCCTTATGCCTGGAACTCCCTTCCCCAAACATCTGCATTGTGTCATCTCCCTGTTTTCCTCCAAATCCTTCTGTACCCACCTCTTCTGCAAAGTCTTTGGCTTACTCCACACTGCAACTAAGATGAGGCTTAAATAAATGTTAACTTTACTTGCACTTGTCAGCTCCCATCAGACAGGAGACCCAGAAGGAACCACCTTAGAAGAGATAAAGCCCACTAGAGATGCCAGGATGCACTGGAGCCTAGGGGAACTTGGTACCCCCTAGAGGGGACTCCAGCGCAGTAGTTACAGAGAACAATCTGCCCTTAGACCGCCCACCAAATCCAGGGGCTGATATTCGTCCCTTGGCCCATGACTGTGCTCGTCCCATGTCCTGGGACCCTATGCTTGGAGCCTGGGGACAACAAAAGCAGTAGACATGCAGAGAAACTGCCCTCAGAAGTAGAGAGTCACCTGGCAGCACACCACTTCTTTCCCCATAGCTATGCTCCTGAAGAGGAAATTTCTATCATCAGAGCTTTTACGGATGTACTAGGAAGGCTGGGGATTGCAAGCCTGCTAGGAAAACCCTCAAGTACAGCTTGGAAGCTGCACAGCTCCTCATTCTTAATTAGTCTGTGAACAGCTCCTGCTAAAGCAGTATGGGAATCCTAGGACCTGGCTCCAACCTTAGGTTCACTGCAGGAGAGCTTTTCTGCTTGCTTACTGGACTATTGGGTCCTGTGATGCAACAGCAGAAGACCTCTCCTCCCTCTGTTACTTCCCCACTTTCAAAATTTACTAGCATCTCAGGGCAGGGATTGTATGTTCGTTTGTAATGTTCCATATAAACTGATGACACCATATAAAGTACAGTTTCCCAGTCTGTTTCTTTTTAAACAAAAATCACAGGCACAAAGCTTGTTCTATCAGGGTACGGAATGTCGTATTACCCAGTCCTCTTCTCTGGGGCTCACCTAGAGTATTCACAGTGACCACCTCGCTGAAGGAGCTTGTGCCCAGCTTGTTTTGGGCCAAGACACTGAACTGGTAGGCAGTCTCTGGTTCGAGGTTATCCACAAGCAGCCAGCTGGGACCAGCTGGTACTGGGAGAGAGAGCCAGTCATGAGGTCCAAACTGTGCTCGCTTCATCCTGGCGAGACAGAAGAAAAACAATCCAAGGGACAGGCTCTTTGCAGGAAAGGAATCAAAGAGAAAGGACAAGAAAAGAAAAAAAGGAAGGCAGAGAGAAATAGGGTCAATCGCTTAACAAACAACGGTGCTGTTTGGGAGATGGCTTCAAATCTGACCAAGAATTGTGAATATTAAAATATATATATATCAAAATCCTGCACCTGAGTAATCAAACCTACAAGAAAAGCTGGTCTGGAAACCTGCACAAGTTCAGCATATTTGCATGATTATTTTGCATACTTTAATATACAGTTTCTGCTAATTATGAGGAGAGGGAAGGAGCTGTATGGAACACGGTAACCCACAACTGATAACCTTATTAAACAGTTTGTCGGGCAACTGAGATTTCAGCATGCATTACCTACATACCTGCAAGCATACCATTGCCACCATAATAGCTAGGAATTCACAGGTGGCTGAATTCTGAAGCTAATGCTGCATTCTGTTGTCTACACAGTAGACAGCTGACACGGTGTAGGGGTTAGTTTTGGACTGTGGACCAGAATACATGGGTTCAAATCTGAGCTCAGCCATGAAACTCACTAGGTGATCGTAGGCCTAACCTACTTCCCAAGACTGTTTTACACTGCCTGAAGAAAAAGTGGCATCAAAAGTATTTACTACTATGTGGCTTTTCTGCGATTACACAGAATCTTATTACCTCTCTCAAACACAGACCTGTTTATTCCACAATGGAGAGGGGCCAAGAGGCAAAGGCTCTCTGCTTGCCAGCCTAAATTTGAGCACTAAGGACCAAACTAGACATGACTGCATTCTTGCAGCTGCCACTGGGACACAGGCTGCCATTGAAAAATGCTGTGGGGGCCCAATCCTGATTGGGTATGCAACGTGGTGGGCTGAGAGGCTAATTCCCCTTCCAAGTGCCTTCTCACATGCTGAAACAGCAGTGTACACCCGTTTCGGCACTTGAAAATGCATGCGAGGAAAAACAAAAGTGCCCCACTGAGGGCCTGGTTAGGATCGGGGACCTCACATTACTTTTAAAATGATGGCTACAAGGACTCCGTCACATCAGTTTGGCCCTAAGATGCTGTCATTTATACAGGCACAGCTAATGAACTACAGGCAGTCCCCCCCACACCCATCAGTGCAGTAATGGGCAGAATTGATAAGTTCTACACTACTCTTCTGCTCCCTGTGGATTTGAAGCCTGATTATTTGCCAGGGGAAATCTAAACATTTCCTGTTGATGGCTCTCCCTGTGCCACAGAGCCACGTCTGCTGAAAGCCACACATGCAAATCTTAGGCTGCTTGGCTCACCATCCACAGGACTGCTGAGTTCAGCACATAGCCAAGTTTTGCACTGGACCAAGCCCACCTGTACTGCAGTCCCAGGAAAGATGGTATCCACAACGTGATTTCATTCTCTCTGGTCTCATTCCAAGCTCTGCTAATATAACTCAAGGCCAAGCCCCCAAATGGCAAAATGCCCATTGTTCTCCTTTATACTGTGGTAATCAGATGTGCTTATCGTGAACACCTGCTTCAACAGAAAAAGAACTGCTGGCTATGGCATACTGAAGGGCACATACAATTTAGAGCAACAAAGCAGCCAGGATCTAAGTAAAATAGCAAAACAGTTGGCTGACACCTCCAAAGATCCATTAACAAAAGGCACATCTGAACTGCAGACCTTTCAGGCGCTGCAGGAAAATCAGGCCCAGGTTGCTGGCACTGCCCCTTAAATCCATCCATTCCCACTGTGATTGGTCTGTGCCTTTACCCCTGTAACTTCCTCTTCCTATCAACAGACCTTGTCAGTGCAGCAAATCACCTTAACCAGGTGTCTGGAAAAGCAGTCTATAAATGTTCTAAATAAACAATAAAGCACCAAACTAAAGCACAAGCAGTGCACCTCACTCTGCCTCTTTTTGCAATGCTCAGATGCTGCAGCTTTATGGATCAGATGAAGGTGCCTGATATAGTCAGGCCGTTGGTCCATTTAGTGGCTTCTTTTCTCCTCTGATTGGCAGTTAGGGTTGCCAGGTTCCCCCCACCGGGTACCAGCAGGGGGTGGAGGGATAGGGCTGGCAACTCCAGGTTGGGAAACTCCTGGAGATTTGGGGGTGGAGCCTGGGGAGGACAGGGACCTCAGTGGAATACAATGTCATCAGATCTACCCTCCAAAGCATCCATATTCTCCAGGGGAACTGATCTATGTAGTCTGGAAATCAGCTGTAATTCCAGGGGATCCCCAGGTCCCACCTGGAGGCTGGCATCCCTACGGGCAATAGTGCCCCACTTAGGCCAAATATACACAAAAGGCACGATACAAGAGAATCCTGGGATAGTGAGAAAGAGGGGGGGGGGAAAGAGCTTAGCGTGGCACTGAGAAGTGAACCATGGACATCTAACTATGATTTCTAAGTGGTGCATCAAATGAAGAAGGGCTTTCTTGGAAGCTTACCAAGGCCCCTCCGTGAAGTGGACTGCAACAATGGGAATACGTAACCACAGAAGGGTGAGTGCTTCAGGCCACATTCAGTGCAGTGGTTGGGCCTACCAAATCTAGATAGTACCCTCACAAGCTAACCAGCTGCCATAGAATATTCCCCAGAATCCCCTGCAAAGCACTGACGTTCAAAGCCAGGTATCTGGAGAGATTAATTTGTGTGGCATAGGTTCCCTGAAGGAAGTTCCAAAGCTGCTCCGCCTTAGATCCTTCTCAACTGGACATTCCAAAAAGGAGAACCTTGTAGCCACAGGTGTGGTTTAATATGGGAATCCACCACAGCAGATGTCTACACTCATCTCCCACACTTCTGGCAAGTCCTCGCCAATGTTCCCTCTAAGCTGTGGAGTCTTGTGAGCAAAAATTCTACTTTGTGAGCTACTGGCATTAAAGTAGTGAGCAAGTGATTTGGCTGCTGCATAAATTAGTTTGCTCTGGAGCCGTCGTTCCTGAGCTAAGACAAAAATGTGTGAGCCGGAGGCTAAAAAACGGTGAGCTAGCTCACACTAACTCAGCTTAGAGGGAACCCTGGTCCTCGCACAGCCTTGTGCCAAGAACCATCCCACCACCCTGCCTGCCTGATGCTTCACTTTCACACCACATTAGCCTATTTTTAAAACCAGGGTCTGAAAATACCTACGGTCCTCAATAAGTCAAGTAAAAATACGCCAAGGAAATTGGCAACAAGCACTGCAGAAGCAGCTGGCATTTCTCCTACAAGGTGAGATATGGCTGGGAAGGGAGGGAGTTTAATCGTTCCTTCGCAAGGACATTTTGCTCACAGAGGCAGCTGTAAGAATTTTGTGCCTTATGCCTGCTCCCATGATTGGGCAGGGCTTTTGTCCTCCTCCCTTTGCTTTCCTCCTCTTTCTCTCTCTCTCTCATATCTTTTCCTTCCTTACTCCTGCTTCTCCTTTTGTCTTCCTATATAATCACATAACTCTCTCCTTCCTGAACACCAGCATTATCCTGTTTCTGAAGCTGAGCAGATTTTATTATCAGAAGCACATATCCAGTCTTTATCACTCAACTCCATCTGGTCAGGTTTAAAAAAAGGGGAGAGAGAAAAGAAAGAAGGTGGTGGAGGGGAGAAAACCCCAAGGGTTTGATGGAAAGAACATGACTAAGTTGGAGAAGGTCACTGTCACCTCTACATTCTACGCTGCTGCTGGACTCCAATGAAGGGACCGAATGCCAATCAGCTCAGAGGCCGGGTGAGGGACCAGTCAGTCCTACAGCACATAAATAGTTCAGAAGGCAAGAGATCTGCTGGAGCAGCATTTTGGTGTCTGACCATCCTGCCCCAGGGCTATCAGTCAGGACTGTGATCCCTAGGGAATGGTTCAGACATGCATGCCAATCATTTGTTTGTTTGACATTGGATGATACATAGCTGAAAGTGTCAGCTGACTCCAGGGTTGAAATTTAGGGGAGGTGGGTATATATGATTCAAAGTGCATGTGATGATCCTGCAGAAACACCTCTAACTGTTATTTTTTTTTTAAGTAAGCACAACAGAATATCCTTAATATACAGGAATTTATCTTGGATAGGTTCTGCTTACAGCAGGTCTTTGAGTTTCGCTGTGATTCCTACTCAGCCCCACAGACATCTTTCTCTCACCCTGTTCTATCAAACCTAAAATACTCCAGTGACAAGCACTGCCTATGAAATGGCAAGACACAAAAGTTCTCTCTGTGATGACTCATTCACAAATTCTAGTCATCATTTGATTTCACAGTCATGGAAACAATGGATATGCAAGTAAAACAATTTATGTTATGTGGATTACACCACTGAGTAGCTTCTTAGCCAGGACCATGTGGCTTGAGGGTTTGGTTTAAGAAGGAAGGATGTCGACATCATAAGGAGGACTGAGATTTCTCAAAATCTAGTAAATTTCTGTCCTGTTCCAGAAGCTGTGCTAGACCTCTCTGTTCTGGAATACATTCTGCAAGCAGGCTGTGGATCTGGCCCTACCTGCGGCGGAGATGTATGGTGCATAGCAAACACTAATGATATATGTCCCTGTGGGAAACCGTGGCTCAGTGGGAGGCCACCTACCTGACATGCAGTAAGCCCAGGTTTAATCTTTAGCATCTACCATTGAAGGATTTCCAAAAGCAGTGGCTGAAAAACGCCTTTCTCTACCTGAGAACCTGGAGAGCCTATGCCAGTCAAAACTGAACCAGATGGCCCGATGGCCCAACAAAGCGTAAGGCAGCTTCAAACGTATGGCATCTCTGATCTATTTTAGATTAAATTCTAGCAAATCTTGGCATCCATGAATTTGTACAGCGAATCAGGACGGTACCTAAACTTCAAGAAACGAGGGTGTTCTATCAGCTACGGCATTATGAAGACAGTCACAGATACAAACATCTCTTAGGCAAGGTTACAGGACAGAACAAAAAATACCCTTATCACAATCCAGCAAGAAGCACTGCATGAGGCTCCTGTACCATATTAGCATGCAATTAATTTA